TCGTGTAGCCAGCTGCGTACGTTCCTGCAGGACAGTCAGGTTCCCCCGAACCTGCGCTCCTCTGCGAGAAGATGGTGTCAATTGCATTGAGAGACCAGATGATCAAATCCATAATTTCCTTAGTTTTGAAGAGCAGGGCTGAGAGGGTCTCTCGAGTATAGACAGTAAGACAGTAGACTAGACTGCTGTTCCAGTCTTCTACGGATGGTTCACTCAGATACTCCAAGCAGGCGTGCAAGCTGGACACATGAGTAACCACACACAATGTAGTACTCAATCATTTCTAGTGGTATGTCTATCAAAGGATGTCCTGGTCCTTCAGTTGTTCTGTCCCTTACAAAAAGCCTGCCAGCTACAGTACTTCACTCAGATTGGCGAAGACAACATTACTGATGTTGTTGTTCGTCAGGGCGACAAACTCATTTAACCTGTCCAAAACTAAATGACTTCTGAGCAACAGAAAATCTGCAGAGTATCGTAGGGTGACCAGATAATCCATGTCAAGGAGGACACTCTGAGCTAAGACAGGAATTGTAAATTACCATTTCAATTAAAAGGACCCGGATTTCACTTGAGCACTGAGCTCTTGCTGTGTGCTGATTGGTCAGTCTCCTATAATCATGCATGTGTCACTAATGCTAATGTGAAACAGCTGGATGAGTCTTTCAGTCAAGGAAACAAACCAGTCAAAGCACAAGAAGAGCTGAACTATTTAACCAAACACAGGAGCCTTTCAATTTGAAAGTAGTTTGTAAAACCCGAAGTAGCTCAAAGTGTCCTGAGGGGGCGTGGCACACGAGAGGAGTGGACGATCGGGGCATGACAAGTATCTAGTTTTATAACACTTTATAAAAAATTAACTTAGTGTCCCTATCTATGGCATGAGATATATAATATATATATTTTTGCATGATTTATATAATTTCAATTGGAAAAGATTTTTTCATTTTCATGACGTTAATCTGGCTTGGAACTACTTTCATCAAAACTTCAGTTACTTTGTAAACAAACATGCCCCTCTTCGTAAATTTAGAATTAAAGGGCGGGAGAACCCATGGTTTTCAACTGACCTGGCAGATCTACTGTATAAACGTAACACCACTTGGGCCAAGGCTCGTAAGTCAAATTTAGAGACCGATTGGCTTAAATTTAGACAACTCAGAAATAAATTTACCCTTTTGCTCAGAAAAGCTAAAGCCGACTTTTACCTGTCCACCACCCTGGGAAGTCTCAATAGCCCAAAGAAATTTTGGAAAACTGTCAAATCTTTGTCCGCTAACAATGACTCAACTAATCTCCCTCCCAATATACTTGTCGACGATGCCAGAATAACTGATAGGACAGAAATATTAAATTACTTTAACAGACATTTTATTTCATCTGGTAATTTGGTTAAGTCTAATAACTTAACCACAGAATCACCAATCTCAAACTGTATAAATGAAAATATGCAGGTCTTTAATCTTAGTCCATTTACCTAAGCAGATGTAGAAAGGGCTCTTAAATCCCAGAAAATCATCAGGACCAGATAACTTAGAGCCTGTCTTTTTAAAATTAGCTTCTGAAATTATAGCTGAACCACTATGTAATATTTTTAACCTATCATTGTCAACTAACGAAATTCCCAATGACTGGAAATCAGCCTTTGTTATCCCCCTCCTGAAAGGGGGCGACCCAACTATTCTAAATAATTACAGGCCTATCTCAAAACTCTCTGTTGTCGCAAAAGTGCTTGAATCTCTGATCAATGTGCAATTAAAAGATTATTTATATAAAAATTCTGTCCTTTCACCATATCAATCAGGTTTTCGTAAAAATCATAGCACTACCACTGCTGTGATGAAGATCATAAACGACATCGTAAAAGCCCTTGATGACAAGCAATTGTCACGTAGACTAGGGAACAGAGACCAGGATCCAGGAATGCAGGGAGGACCAAGGTTTAA